ATTTACCATATTCTGCATGATTATTTACAACTTTTCTACAATTAATATCTCAATAATTATTGCGAATATCGCAAAACAGTATAGGACTTTTATGTTTACCTCAATCTGTTCTACGTCCCCACAAAATGCCCGAAGGAGAGTGTGAGATACCCTGTATATATTATAGTATCCACTACGAATAAATATTTACTATCTCTTAAATATTTTTTTCTCTCGGTGTGTAGAATACTATCCTTTCATGTTACAAATGCCTGCTCCTCTCTTATTGTTTTCTCCATGTCGAGGCTTTAGGTAGGATTTATTTAAAAGTTACATAATATAAGGACATAAGGGAAAGTCTTGAGTAAGGGTAGAAAGAGGTTATGAAAGGAGGTTACGAAAAGTAGTAGAGGTAGATATTAGTAAATCTGTTATATTATATTGTAGTTATATTATATTATATTATGTTACATTATAGTATCCTCTACGAATAAATATTTACTATCTTTTAAATATTCTTTTCTTTCAGTGTGTAGGATATTTCCATGATCCCTTCATGTTACAAAACTTACAGTTGTAGCCTGCTCCTTATTGTTTCATGTCGAGGCTTCAGGCAGGATTTATTTAAAAGTTACATAATATATTGGAGAGCTTTTCTAATTGGATAGCTTTTGATGCTTTCGTTTATACCATCTTAATCACTTCCTCAACCGTTCGGAATGTTTTAAAAATGTTATGATCTCGCGATCACCGAATGAACGAATTGTTTATCGACAACTAGTGAGGGAAATTATTTGGCTCTTTTCGCCCATTGTTTGGAGACTATCGTGTGTCGCGCGTACCTTTGACCGAGTCATTACGTTTGAACTAACGAATATATACACACACACACACACACACATACATCGCGACACAAAGCATCAGTTTACAATTCCCAACAGTTAATGACAAAATTTCGCGTCGGAATATAAATTCGACCTCGAATCGACATCGCGTTCATTAAACACGCATTTTTTGATCGAACAGTGTCACCGTGAGTGTCAGTGCTGGTGTCAGCGTTAGTGTCAGTATCAATATTATCGTCAGTCCCAAGTAGCGCATGAAGTTATAAAACAGTTGCGACAACATTGTCGTAATTTTTCATCGTAAAATTTTTGTCCAACACAATAACTGCCATATCGTAATTATGATGTTTTGATACTGTTGTAGCAGCAAAAGTCAGACAATATTTTTAGAAACGTAGCTGCAATCATTTGGTTGCACAGAGGTTATGATAACTTTTTTATGGCTGTGCAGCCAAATGATTGCAGCTACGTTTTCAAAGCTTAAAAATGTCATTTTACTACTACACGTTGTCAAAACATCATGACCACGTTGTAGCGGTTACTGTGTTAAACAAAAATTCTGCAGTTTAAACTGGGACGCAGCTATTTTAAAGTTTCACATGCTGCTCGAGATAGCAGTTAAAATAAAAATAAACAAATAAATAGAAAATGTTTTTCACATCTAAATTAATATTTAATGCAAGTTAAATTTTAATTTTAAAATTACTTTTGAATATTGAAAAAAAGATATAAAAATAATTTCTTTTTATTTACTTTTTTTTTATTTATTTAACTGAGATTAAACCTCGAGCAACTCAGAACCTTCACCTTACTAAACTTACAATTTAGAGATTAATAGATATTACTTAATTATTGCAAATTATTACAATTTATAACGCACATATAAATGTACTAACGCGGACGCAAATTCATAAGTACACCGTTTAACTCTTTATAGAGCACTGGTACCAGCAGCGCAGAATTGGCCGAGAGAATCAGGAGTGGTTCTAAACGCTTTCCCTGAATGGTCAATAGTATAACAGTTATACCGGTTGATATCTCTTATCAAAAACTTTTTTCAGTCTCAAAAATGATATTAAAATATCTCTAATAATTATTTTAATGAAGTTCAAAAGAAAAAACTCATTTGTCATATCCAAGGAGTCTTGCCCTATAAAGGGTTAAAAACTATACAGAGGTCTTTAAATAATAATTTTAGAGCCGCATAAATGAACGCATGACTATCGCTGATACATGCTTTACAATTTAACATAAAATTGATAATCACGTTACTCTTTGTTTCCATTGTGACATAAATTACAACCAGATTATAGCTATTTTGGCTGCATTTTAGCTTCCTCCTATGCGCATATATGATCATGACTTACGGTACGCGTACATAATAAAAGTAATAAAATGTTTTGATTTTTCTTTATTGAATTGTCATGATGCTTTTACAGCCATTAGTATAGTTAAAATAACTGTGATTGAATTTCGGCTTTTATTATTGCTGTCACAACAACTTAACAACAATTAATGCAGCTAAAATGGCTGCAACTAATTTTAGTCTCTTTAATAGCTGTTACAAGTCATAGTCGTCATTATCTACCGAGCCCACGCGCGATTACGCGTTTCCCTGAAAAATCGATCGCGCAACCAGTCATACTGCTCTGTGTGTTGGTACAACACGCTGTACGCGTCTTGAATTACAGTTTTATTCGAGGGAAATACATATGCGTTCTGCATTACCGTATTTTTGTTAATTCAATCATTAATCGAATCTTCATGAAATTAATCAACGATAATCAACGCGGCAGCCAACGTGTTAATATATTCTCCGAAAATAAAGAAATATCCGAGACGAAATTTTAAATCTAAAACTAGTATTCATAGTTTGATATCTGTCATAGTTTGATATCTGTCACATCTCAGTTCATCCGATTATTCTGTCGTAAT